AATATGTATGGCATACTTGTCGCGGGGAGAAATACAGTCTTGTAGTTTTTAAAGATTTTTAAACAATGAAACCTTTCCCACTCCCTGAAAAAGAAGTCCGCACAAAATAGACAAGAGGGGCTACTCCTAACCCACAAAGCAGCTGGGAGTAACTCAGTTTGGAAACCACTGAGGATCATAATTTGTGCTGCACCAAGGAGCAGGCCAGAGACTATCCCGACTCCCAGGCCAGGCCTCTTTCTAATTCATCTATTTGTTGCCTTTGGCCAAGAACACATTCAAATATATCTGTTTAATAAGTGCACTAATTAAATACAAACATGATTGAAATAGGGCAAATATGGGACACTGGTCACCACTGAGGTTGAACATAATGAACTAGAACCAGCTTTCGATTCTCCTTTTCACAGAAAATAAGTCATTGATTCAAAATGGCGACAGAGAGCAGGCAAGCAAAAGGGAGCAGAGAGGTCAGGGAAAAACTGCTATTCATTATGAGTAGATCCTATGTGAACTATTTTGCTTCCTTATTTAAGTTAATTCTTGGATATTTCTTTCCATACTTAGCGGACAAAGGAAGTGGTATGTTATACATATATCATACCCCCCATACACACATACAGGGATCTACAACCCTCTATCAGCAATCCTAAAATCCAAAAAGCTCTGAATACTGGAGGGACTTTTAACTTTTTGCTTCTGATTTTTAATTTTGTTTTCTGATTTCTTTTTTTTTTGGCAAAACAGACCAGTACTAACTAGAGATCTTTTTGTACCTTATTTGGCAACTAAACTTGACCTGACCTGAGCTTACTTGTTGGCAAAACTTGACCTAAACTGACTTCAGGCTATGCATAGTCTGTATTTTCCTGACTGTGAGGAGTTGTGAACTTGTATATAAATGGTTCGATTGAATAACGATGGCCCTGAAATAATAAATTTAAACTCAAAAGCACGTTTTAAAATCTATACAGTAGCAACTAACAGAGAACAAATGATTTGAAAATTGGAAGTTCCTAAGCTAAAAAGAATCTTAAGAGCAGTCCATCTAGTAACCTCATTTGTGGAGTTAACTTAGAGCAGACTGATACCTGCCACCTACACCCCAAGGCAATACATTTTTGTGTGACCACTAGTCTCCATTCTGATGGCTCTCCCTGTGGGAATGTCACCTTGCTTTTGTTTTTTTGTTTGTTTGTTTTTTTGAGACAGGGTCTCCCAGGCTAAAGCAGGCGGCACAATCATAGGCTCTGCAGCCTGAAACTCCTGGGCTCAAGCAACACTTCTGCCTCAGCCTCCTGAGTATGGCCTGTCAAAGTGCTGGGATTACAGGTGTGAGCCACCACGCCCAGACTTTATTTTTATTTTTTTGTAGAGACAGAGTTTTCTTTGTTTCCCAGGCTAGTCTCCAACTCCTGGCTTTAAGCAATCCTCCCACCTTTCTCCCAAAGTGCTGGGATTACAGGCGTGAGCCACCTCATCCAGCCTGTTTTTATTTGATCAGAGAGTTCCCAAGTAACTTTCAGAGAGTTCTCCAGAAAGTACTTCATTCAACTTTAAGGGAAAACAAACAAAAATAAAATGTTTTAAATACTTCCTTCCCTCAATTCTACTTCTCTTTCTCAAAGTTTGGATGAGTATAGAAAAGCCTTATCAAAATACAGCATCGGCCAGGCGTGGTGGCTCACACCTGTAATCCACTTTGGAGGCCAAGGAGGGCGGGTGGATCACCTAAGGTCGGGAGTTCAAGACCAGCCTGACCAACATGGTGAAACCCCGTCTTAAAAAAAAAACACACACACACAGCATCAAATACCTCTTATATTGAGAGGAGGAGAAGAAGATAATGAATTTATAGTTAGCAAAGATCTTCTGAGGGCCGTGTGTGGTGGCTCACGCTGGTAATCTCAGCACTTTGGGAGGCCGAGGAGGGCGCAAAACCTGAGGTCCAGAGTTTGAGACCAGACTGACCAACATGGTGAAACCCCATCTCTACTAAAAATAAAAAAAAATTAGACAGGCATGATGGAAGGCTCCTGTAATCTCAGCTGCTCACGAGGGTGGGGCAGGGAGAATTGTTTGAACCCGGGAGGCGGAGGTTGCAGTGAGCCAAGATCGCCCCACTGCACTCCAGCCTGGGCAACAGAGACTCCATCTCAAAACAAAAAATAATGATCTTCTTAGTCCAAAAGAATTTATAATTAGTGAGCTTATTAACAAGTTGATAACATTAACTGTATGATCAAAGTATTCTGATTCAAGGATATGTTTCAAAATAAGCTTTAAGGACATACAATCAATAGTTGATAATATAATAGCAACAGTAGCCATGACCATTGAATGAGGGTCTGTTACGTGGTAGGAACTGTGTGAGGTGCTTTACATACAGATCTTATTTAATCCTCATCATCAATCCTGCAAGGAAGGTATTCTTGCCTCCATTTCAAAGATGAGGAAGCTTAAAGAGGTTAAATATCCTTCCCAAGATCAGACAAAGGGACAGCCTGGGTTGTTTGAGAAACCATAAAAAGGTGTGCTTAAGAGCACAGCTCGGGCTGGGCGCGGTGGCTCAAGCCTGTAATCCCAGCACTTTGGGAGGCCAAGGTGGGTGGATCACGAGGCCAAGAGATCGAGACCATCCTGGCCAACATGGTGAAACCCCCGTCTCTACTAAAAATACGAAAATTAGCTGGGCCTGGTGGCCTTCACCTGTAATCCCAGCTACTCTGGAGGCTGAGGCAGAATTGTTTGAACCTGGGTGGCAGAGGTTGCAGTGAGCCAAGATTGTGCCACTGCACTCCAGCCTGGCACCTGGTGACAAAGTGAGACTCTGTCTCCAAAAAAAAAAAAAAAAAAAAGAGCACAGCTCGGAGCCAGACTGCCTTGGTTTGAAGCCCAGCTCTGTTACGAATTAGCTAGATTAAGTTATGCAAATGTCTCCATTTTAACACTTATAAAATCGGAATAATAATAGTACCTATCTCACAGGGGTGATGTTGTGAGGATTAAATTAGTTAATAAATATAAAGCAATTAGGAGAGTGCCAGACACCTGCTAAGGGCAATACAAGTATTAGCTATTATTATGATCATTATTAACTGGAGCCAGCATTCAAACCCAAATCTGCCTAATCATGCAGCTCCTCTTTTCCACTATGCTTCAAAAGTTAACCACAGGCCAGCTGCCTGTACCTTTCATGACACCTGTTGGCACTGTCTGCCTTTCATTTCTCTTGTCTGTTCCAAACCTTATGATCTGTGGCCATTTCAAGACTGCAACAAAATGTCTTTCTTTTGGTAAACAGCCAGGCATGGAATGAAAGCAAAAAGAAAAGGATATCAAATGAAAAATTCAGGCCAGGTACAGTGGCTCACGCCTGTAATCCCAACTTTGGGAGGCTGAGGCAGGCAGATCACTTGAGGTCAGGAGTTTGAGACCAACCTGGACAACATGGTGAAACCCCATCTCTACTAAAAATTCAAAAATTAGCTGGGCATACTGGTATGTGCCCGTAGTCTCAGCTACTTGGGAGGCTGAGGCAGGAGAATTTCTTGAACCTGGGAGCTGGAGGTTGCAGTGAGCCGAGATGGAGCCACTACATTCCAGCTTGGGCGACAGAGCAAGACTGTGTCTCAAAAAAATAAAATAAAATAAAAAATTCTAACAACTGATGCCTTTAAGTCAACTTCACACTGCATGGGACTTAATAAAGAGCTAATTCAAAATTAATCAAGGCCAAAAAAAAACATACAAAAGCAACAAAGCACCTAACTACACACAGACACATTAAGTTGCAACACGTGAAACAAAGACCACCAAGTGCTATGATATTAAGTACATATGCCACACTTACAAGTCTGGAGCTTTTTCACCCTTATGGTAAGACAGTTTTTCACAGCCTCTAGAACCAACAACTACTAAAAGTACATGCTCAGAATTCATGCCATATAATTTAGTCATTAAACAAATACTTGGACTGCATACTCTGGTAGTACTTGGCCCTGTGATTGGGCCACGGTTACAGTATTTAAACAGACAGCTCCTTCTCTTATGGAGCTTACAATCCAGCATGGGTAAAGACTTCAAGCAGCCGGGCGCGGTGGCTCAAGCCTGTAATCCCAGCACTTTGGGAGGCCGAGGTGGGTGGATCACGAGGTCAAGAGATCGAGACCATCCTGGTCAATGGTGAAACCCCGTCTCTACTAAAAATACAAAATATTAGCTGGGCACGGTGGCGCGTGCCTGTAATCCCAGCTACTCAGGAGGCTGAGGCAGGAGAATTGCCTGAACCCAGGAGGCGGAGGTTGCGGTGAGCCGAGATCGTGCCATTGCACTCCAGCCTGGGTAACAAGAGCGACACTCCGTCTCAAAAAAACAAAAAGACTTCAAGCAAATGTGTATTGTGGCATTCCTAAAAACTACTCCGCTAATTTTAAAACCTTTTGTAACCTCCTAACAACAACAAAAAAAAAATTAAAAAAATTAAAACAAAGGGACAGATTTCAAACCACCTGAAAAGACAGCTTTTCTCTCAGTTGCTAAATGTGGCCTTCTTGGGCCAGGCACGGTACCTCCTGTCTGTAACCTCAGCACTTTGGGAGGCCAAGAAGGGAGGATCGCTTGAACCCATCAGTACTAGACCAACCTGTGCAACACAGGGAGACCTCCATCTCTATTTTTTTTAAAAAAAAAGGTGGGGAGGGAGCAATATCTAAAATCACATACATGCACCTTACAGTTCTGACTTGTTCATAGTCCCTGTACACGTTTATGATAACGAATACTGTGTTCGGCCGGGCGCAGTGGCTCACGCCTGTAATCCCAGCACTCTGGGACGCTGAGGCAGAGGGGATCGCCTGAGCTCCATAGTTCGAGGCCAGCCTGGGCAACAAGGCAAAACTCCGTCTCTAATAATGAAAAAATATATACGGCATCGCGGGGCACAGCGAGCGCAGCGCAGGGTCGAGGCGCCTGGTCCAAGCTGAGACGCCGCTACTCACCTCTCCGAACTGGAAGGCGGAGACGATGGTGACAACGACGCCCACGAAGCAGACGTAGAGCCCATACCTGTGGGACAGGCAGGTATAGGTCTGTCTCTGAAGAAGCTTGAGCAGCATCACCCCGGCCGCCGCCACGCCACGCCCGGAGGAGCCAGAGCCGCCGCCTCAGCGAGCCGCCATTCAGGGGCCCCGGTCGGGCGCCGCGCGCAGATCACAGTGGTCTGGCGCCGCTCATTGCAGCTCCCGCGACTGACGCCCGCTCGGCTCCGCGCCGCGGCCGCCGCTTCCGGGAGCCCAGAGCCCACGCCCTCCGCGCGACGGAGGCGGACCCGCGGCCGGCTAGGCGGCCAGCGCCGCCGGGGTCTGGCCGGGCGAGAGGCGGCGGCCCGCAGCGGCGGCGGGGGTTCTCCAGCGCCACCTGGAGGACGGAGGGGCATAGGGCACGCGCGCGCCCTCTCCATTCGCGCGTGCGCAGCGTGCCCTGAGGGCTGGGCTAGGCTGGGCTGGGCGGAGCTACGTTGAGCTGAGCCGAGCTGGGATCCACTTACCCGGTTGGGCAGGTGACCAAGAGAAAACTGTCCTTGCGTCGAGACTGTGCTGGTATAGGCGGTACTATAATGCCATGAATATTTTTGTGCATAAAACCTTCTCTGCCTTTACAGTAATTGGGAAATCATGGTTTTGCAGAGCGCCAAAAGGAGATGATGTATGTGGCTCCTTTTCCCCCATCCCCCAACTATATTGTTTGACAGAGGAAACCTTTGGGTTAAATCTGCCAAAACGGAATTTCGTTCACTCATTTATTCATTAAATATGTAGTTTGTGCCTGGCGCCTGGCATAGTGCTTCGTGTCAGGTATTCAAAAATGAACTAGACCTGGCCACTGTTCTTGGAGAGTCTAGTTGGGGAGATAAACATGTAAAGTACTAAATACAAAAGTTGTTATGATAGAAATCATGCGAGAACTGGAAGGGAACCAGGTCAGGGGTGGCCGGGTAATCCGACTTTGACACAAGCTTTTGCCCACGAGTTCCTCTCCTTGGTGCCTATGTTTTAGGAGAGAGAGAGATCTTTTTCTTAATCCCAATACACCCTAGTTAATGGGATTTTTTCCTAGTCACTCTGGGAAACAATACACTTATCTAATGTTGCCATCATTAAAAGCCTTTTTAAAAATATCTTGGGAACCAGCTTCAGGAAATACTCAAATTTGTACCCTTAACTTTGATGGTCAGATAGAATTAACAGGCTTGCAAAAGGGTTAGCTTCACTCCAATCCAAGGCAAGAATTTTACACTTTGCTGTCACTTCAATTCTTCTTTTAAAAAAGATGATTGATATATGCTACACATACATGGCAAAGATTATAGCAGTTGTACAAGACACATATGTTTCTGAGGTCTTTTCAAGCATTATAATAGATCTGAGGACTTAATCAGAAGGGGAAAAAAGCAAGATAACACATAAAAACATCTGCCACTCAACGGGACTCTCAGGATAACGGCAACATTTACGTAGCATCTACTATGTGCCCAGCTCATCTAATCATCACAGCAATCTTATAATAAAGATACCATTATTATCCCCATTCTACAGATCAAGAAACTGTGGTGAAAGAAGTGGTTGTCTAACACCACACATACAGTAAATGACAACATTGAGATTTGAACCAGGCACTTAGGCGATAGAACAGGGCCAAGATTAGGGAAAGGTATAGTGAAATGAGTCATGCAAGTTTGGAGTCAGATTCTGTCTTTTGTACAGTTTTGATATTGGGGCTGGGTACAGTGGGTCAGGCATGTAATCCCAATACTTTGGGAGGTCAATGTGGGAGGATAGCTTGAGCCCAGGAGTTTAGGAGCCCAGAAGTTCCAGACCAGCCTGGGTAATATAGACCACGTTTCTATTAAAATAAAATTATTTTAATGTAAAATAAAAAAATAAAGTTTTGGTATTTTGTTTTTCATGGATATTCTTCAGTAATTTTTTTTTTTAGAGACAGTTTCTCAGTGGTGTGATCTCAGCTCACTGCAACCTCCGCCTCCTGGGTTCAAGCGATTCTTCTGTCTCAGCCGCCCGAGTAGCTGGGATTATAGGCACTGCCGTCACACCCAGCAAATTTTTGTATTTTTAGGAGAAATGGGGTTTCAGCATCTTAGCCAGACTGGTCTTGAACTCCTGACTTCAAGTGATCCACCCGCTCAGCCTCCCAAAGTGCTAGGATCACAAGCATGAGTCACCGCGCCCGGCCATTAATTTTGATTTTTTAAAAATATTGTATTAAAATTATTATTCCTCTTGATTAGTGAGTTTCTTAGAGTTCCCTGAGATTTTGCACCCAAGACAAGTGCCTCACTGTCCTCACTCTAGTCCTGGCCCTGCCTAGAACCTGTCCTTTTAAAAAATTATGCTTTGTTGTAGCGCAGATTATCCTTAAATTTTTTCCTATATCTTTAGGCTCCAACAGACAGCCTCAAGGGAGGTCAGGGCATTGTCTAAGTCCTATCTTCTAGAGAATTTACTCTTGTTCACTCTCTTTTCCCCTCCTCAGGCAGCATGGTTGAACTTGAGTAAAATAAATATGGGTGCAATAGGATACACCTATAGTAGCTACCTTGCAGAGTTGGGAGGGTTATGTAAAATAGTACATGAAAATGCTCAAGTGCCTGAGATATTTTCAGCGTTGGAAAATTTAAGAAAAGAACATTTAACTTTGTTCTGAAAGCAATGAGGTTTTCAGCAGGAGAATTAACTGATTAAATTGGCACTTCAAGAACATTAGTAGTATGTAAATGCCTAATTTGTGAAAATTATTTTTTTTAATTTTTTGTAGAGACTGGGGGTCTCACTATGTGGCCCTGGCTGGCGTTGAACTCCTGGGCTCACTCAGTCCCCCCACTTCAGCCTCCCGATGTGCTGGGAGTCACCTCATCTGGCCTGGAAATGATTTTAAACTCTCCACATCTGAACAGGGGAAAAAATATGCAGTAGCATCTCATTTATCTGGAAATCTTCTATCTGGCAAACTAAAAGAGCCAGAAAACTGAAAAAAGCAAAAAACACTCCCAGAAACCCAATGAAACCCCTGAGTTTTGCTTTTAGAAGAAACCCACAGTCCCTCTCTCAAAATCTGACAAATACAATTCCAAGAAACTTTGTTATCTGGCTTCTCAGTCCATAGCAGAGAAAGAAAGAATGAGAGAAAGAGAGAGAGAGAGAGAAAGAAAGAAAGAGCTCCCTCTCCTGCCTGTCCTCCAAACATGAAGTAACTAGAGAAAAAAAATGAGAGAGAAAATATTTTTTTTAATTATTATTATTATTATTTTTAAGATGGGGTTTCACCATGTTGGTCAGGCTGGTCTTGAACTCCAACCTCAGGTGATGCGCCCACCTTGGCCTCCAAAGTGCTTGGATTACAGCTGTGAGCCACTGCGCCCGGCCGAGAGAGAAAAGATTTTTTAAAAAAGAAGTCGAATTCCAAAAGTGTAATCATCTTCACATCAATCATGTAGATATATGTAAGAGCAGAGAGATGGTACAGTGAAGGCAACAGTACCTCCAAGTATAGTAGGCTAATACAGGATATGGTGGTGAGCACAATCTTTGAGAAAAGTTTAAGTAATGGTTAGTGTTTGTTCCACATTTGTGAATGAATGCTTTGTGCAAGGCATTTTATTGGACATTGAGTCTATCTTGTAGTGACTTAAGTACCCCAATGCTTGGGTACCAAGAAAGACATGTCCCAGCTTTTGTGGGATTTGTGGAGGGATACACACACACACATATATTAATATAAAATTGGGATTGTGAGGGGCACTAACCTAGCCTGGGAGGTCAAGGATGGCTTCCTGGAGGAGGTGATGCTAAAGACAGTGCTGGAGGACTCAAGATGTGGGCTGGGAAGGGAACTATGTTCCAGGCAGGGCTGGCCACATGGAAGACTCTAATCTAATGCAAGAAGGGCTGGAGATGCAATGAGATGGAATTAGAGAGTCTGGCAGGACCTTAAAAACCACAGCAGGAATAAAAGACTTATCCTAAAGACAATGAAGAAATTTAATAAAAGCTAACAAATGACACAATCAGATCATTAATTTCAAGAGTCATCGTAACAGTGGTGTGGAAACTGTATTGGAGGGGGCCTGAGGAGTTGAAATGAGACCAGTGGTAGTAGAGTTGCTAGATAAAATACAGAATACCCAGTTAAATGTGAATTTCAGATGAGCAGAGCATAATTTTAGCATGAGAAAATCCCATGTAATATTTGGGACACAATTATACTTTAAAAACTTAATTTACTTGAAAGTCACATTTAACTGTTTGTCCTGTATATGTATATGTGTGTGTGTGTATATATATATATATATATTTTTTTTTTTTTTTTAATGGAGCTTCATTCTTGTTGCCCAGGCCAGAGTGCAATGGCGTGATCTTCGCTCACTGCAACCTCCACCTCCTGGGTTGGAGCAATTCTCATGCCTCTGCCTCCTGAGTAGCTTGTATTACAGGTGCTCGCCACCACACTTGGCTAATTTTTTGTATTTTTAGTAGAGACAAGTTTTCACAATGTGGGTCAGGCTGGTCTTGAACTCCTGACCTCAAGTGAACCTCCCTCCTCAACCTCCTCACAGGTGTGAACCACTGCGCCCGGCTGTGTCCTTTACTTTTATTTGCTATAGCTGTTCTGAGCCACTCTTGGCCAGGCATGGCAGTCCCTGTTCCTCAACTTGAGCCAGTGCCTAGAAAGTCTACCTGAGTCAGGGATGAAGGATTAGCCTATATATCCCCTTGTCCACAGATGTAAAACAACATTCTCCAGTTAACTTCGTCAATACTAATGTGATCCTCATCTGTCTGTATCTTGCACAATCTTCTCAATTGGTTCAATAACTCAGGAGACAATGAGAATGATTTTATATGTATTGGACACTAAAACATCTACCATCTTTGAGTCTCCCCTGGCTTAGCCAGGGTGAAAACTGAACATCCAAGGTAAACAATCTTCCTCAAACAGGGACCTCTTGTTCCAAGCCTATACATATTTTTTATATAGAAATAGTGTGCTTCAGGCTGGGCCCGGAATCTCATGCCTGTAAACCCAGCACTTTGGGAGGCCAAGGCGGACAGATCAGCTGAGGTCGGGAGATCCAGACCAGCCTAACCAAAATGGAGAAACCCTGTCTGTACTAAAAATACAAAATTAGCTGGGCATGATGGTATATGCCTATAATCCCAGCTACTCGGGAGGCTGAGGCAGGAGAATCACTCGAACCCAGGAGGCGAAGGTTGTCGTGAGCAGAGATCATGCCAATGCATTCCTGCCTGCACGTCAGAGTAACTACTCTGTCTCAAAGAAAAAAAAGAAATTATCTCAGAAGCAGTTAAATTACTTAACACTTTTG